GATGACGACCTACAATTAGAAGGTACAATTAGTTTGCGATGAATATGTACAAATCAACCTTACAATTTTAAGTCAGCTGTAGCTCTCACCTTGATTCCAATGTGACTTCAAAAGCACTCCGTTCAAATCAAAAATTAGAAGCTTTTTTTGTGGCCCATCTGTCAATGCCAAATTATTACAAATTTCTCGACCATACATCAATGAATTTATTGGTTGGTCCTTTATAATCTCCCAAATGATAAATTTTCTTGCAATGTGAGCATCGACCTGTATACATGATGCTTCAAATAAGGTGTCATATATTAAAAAAAATTATCCTACAAAAAGAAACATGATTATTCATACTTACTTTATCTATAAATGAGGGTTTATATCCCATCGCCCAACATTGCATTATCTTCAATGAGAGGGGGCCACAGCTAGAACCATCTTCTTGCTTTGGAATGTCCATAACCAGATGGAATGTCCATTGGCAACTTTCGTCATTGATCAATCAATTAACAAGATATGCCTACGTCCCAAAACGAGAAAATACATTAATGCATTCACCTTATGCCCTTTATAGTAAGATATGTTGCAATTAAGCTTGTACATACCGCCAACTCCTTTACTATGTCATAGTAAGATACACGATGTACCATAGTATCCAACATATAAGCCTTCTTATCCTCCACATGAAAGACCATTGCGTACCAGTGACTACTATAAATTATTGGCACAAAAATCTGCAATCAGAAAAAATATCATACAATTCACACATAGACTTTGTTGTCCCCCACATGAGCAATCAGTTACCTTTTTTGCTCTTTCAAAATGTCTTCTGCCAGCTTCTTCTGTGAAACAGAAGTCCTGGAATTCCACATTTGGATAGGAATGTGCGAGATATCTCTAACCCAAGACTCAGAAATGAATTTGTTAGTCACAAGGAAAAAATGATCCTAAATACAAATAAGCAATTCAAAATTATAAGAATTTACCAATAATTGACTATTTACAAATGCAAAATTCCCATTTTCTCTCTGGAGTAACTTCATGTATATGTTCATGATCTAAAATAATGAAAAAGATTGAAGTTACACATTTATAAATCTTTTAGAAAACTATTAACAAAAAGAGGAGATAAGAGTTCAGAAATCTTACTGAATCAGAAAACCATGTCGTCTCATTCATGAAGTGTAACAAATCCTTCTTATTAAGCACCCAACAGCTGCAGTCATATGTTTCCACATTCCAACTATCGACAATAAATAGAAAATCAGATAACTTACTCTTTTTCAGAATAATGCAACTTTAAAGCCCCTGAATTCCACGACAGTCCACTTACTTTTCACTAAGTTTATTGATCCAACCATGAACAATGTCACTCAGCTCTTGCTCATCACACTGTTTAGGTTTTGCTTCTTCCAGGAAAGTCAAATCGCTTAGCTTGACAATTTTCAGATCTTTTCTCTCAATACTTTTCCAAAGCTGTCCTATTCGTGTTTCCTATGCAACAGTAATTCAAAATATATATATATATATCAAATTCAAATACAAGCAGTGGATGGTTATTAAGCTAAACCTTTCTAACTTACAAACGATATATTATTCCTCCCTGTTTGTGCTACAACTTTGATGTCCTCTGATTGGGGGGTTTCAGCTATCTACACCAAAACAGAAGTAAGTATAATAGATCATTATTTTCAAGATTCTACCCTTTTTATTTTTTTAGAAAAAAATTATTAGAGCAAAAGTAATTGCAATACACCGACTAGGCCTCTTTTTCTTCTTTTTCTTGTTTGGTATGCATTGTATGATACAAGTCCATCATACTTTACTGCCTTTTGCCTCTTGTGCTCCTTTTCAGGAGGTGTTTCAAAGGGTCTAGCTTCAAGAGTCTTTTTAAGCCACTTTGGCTTTTTTCCCTTTCCTTTAATTTCTTCATGAATCTCTTGAAGGGTCTTTTCTTCATCAAAGATGTCTACGGTTGGCTTTTTTCCCTTTCCTTTAATTTCTTCATGAATCTCTTGAAGGGTCTTCTCTTCATCAAAGATGTCCACGGTCAAGCTGTCAAACTGCTGTGTCAGCCAAGTTTGCTCCTGGATTTCATTTCATGCATCTATGACATCAATGGACAATTCGTCTTTCCACACCGCCCAATAATCTTTTGTTCCTGATACATAAAACAGAGAAGTGCTACTGAATTAATGTATAAAACAAGCCTACTTAACCTTTCCGAAACAAGAACGAAAGACTGGAATCTGATTTTCAAACAAGAGCAAAGCTTACCTTTTGCTCCTTGGCATGTTAATAAACTCCTTTTATTTCTTGCTTTAACCCTGTGTTCCATCCAATTTGCCATCTCTGTGACTTGCATTTCAGAGAGCTGAAACTGCATTGGACAAACAAAGGGCTTATGGTAAAGGCCAAGGCTCAACATGAATATTGGTAGTATCGCCAATCCCATTTTTTCTTGATCTTTGTAAGGCATTGGCATAAGCTCAACTTTACCCTCATAGGGATTCCAACGAATGTCATCCTGCATGTGAATCAACATGCATTAGAATATGAACTTCGCCAAGTAGTAGTTATAGAAAATTAAAATAAGAGTAGTGATAGGAACTTACATTTGTCAAATTTTTAAAGCATTTTACAATATCCTTCAAGTGAACTTCAGGATATGAGCTCTTTAGTACTTTGCTTGATTTTGCAGCCCATCCCTTGGCTAGTGGGAATGGTGATGGCCCATCCTCCAAATTGAACAGTGTGCTCAAAGGCTTGATATATTCAAAAGCAAAAGCCTGAAGAAAAAAAAATTGAGTTGAATATGTTCTAAAATCAATAAAGTTCAAAGAAAATGCAAGAACATGGGCAATTTACTTACCATCAGAGCTAGTGCACTCCCTCCAAGGCCAACTCTGCAACCAGTTTTTGATTTGGCTGTGACACATTGGGCATACTTTTTCAAGCAATGGTGGATCTCCACCAAAGCAGCTTCTCCCCATGCAAAACTCTTTATCTCATCAATATTTTCCACAAATTTTGCATAAAAAGCATTCACATAATGTCCTGAAGAATTAGGAAAAATTAAAATTCCTAGTAAATACAAAACAGTAGCCCTTATCCTCAGCTCCAAACCATGAGTATAACCCTCTCCACTTCTTGATTTGGCAATCATTTTCAACTTGTTCAAACAGATGCCCTTCTCTTTATAATATACTCCAAAATTTGGAAAGATCGAGTCAGCTATAACTTCCCCACCACCTTCAAGCTTGGCTATAAGTAGTTTGCCACTAACTGGCAAACCAAGAATGTTGAGAATATCCCTTAACCCAAAATATAGGGTCACATTACCCTCAAAGCCAAATTTAAATAATTGAGTCTCATGATCATACTTGCTCGCCAAACCGTGAATCAGACACCATGAACTTTGGCGATCTTTTTCTGCAAAGCATCAAGAGATTTTCAAATCCAGTGCCATTTAAGAAATTTTTCACTTCGTTGCCAACATCAAAATCTGTAATTGCATTACATTTTTGATGAACTTTGCCCAAAGGATTTTCTACAATCAAAGTAAAACATGTTAAGCAGGGAACCAAGTCAACTATCTAAAAGCACTTAAACCGTTAAACTTACTGGCCATTTTAGTAAAACCGATATGACAAACAAATTTTTAGGGTACGAAAGAAGATTAGACGAGCTTTTTGCAGGAAGTATGTACGAGCGTAACTCCTGGTTTGGAGGAAGACGTATTCAGAAGTCGCGCGTTTATACCCGAGATTGGGGATATAGAACAGTAGGGTTGCCTTGGGCTTCTAAAACCAGAAACCGATAGTCAGTTTCCTATTTCGTCAATGCTGTCTTGGGTGCTAAAACTGGCGGGCTTTTTCTGATTTTTTATTATTTAAATTAAAAACCCAATAGTAGGTTTCTTAAAGAAGTTTCTGAGTTCATTCGTATAGGAATTTTCAGTAAGCCAATTATGGGAGTTTAATTGCTAAATATTTACTATTGTATTAGTTGGAATTTTTATTAATGTGTATTTATAAATTTATTAACGTAGAGTGAACTTGATTTTACTGTTGTATTTGTTGCGAAAGAAACCCTTTGGGATTTGTTTTCAATGCTTTCAATAATGAAAAGGATTTCAATGCTACCATATAGCAAGAGGTCCTATGGTTTACAACCAGAGTTATGCTTTTCTTTTCTTTTACCACAGCTGCAACTATTTGCAATCCCATTCAAATATCATATTTTGAGCAACCTGTACCCAATTACATCACCATACTAATTAAAATTTCCCAACACTCATGATCACAAGTTTATGAATATTGGTAAAAAGAGTGGGTTCCATACCCACTATCGCATTTTGTATTGAAAATCAGAAAACTCAAGGGAACTCTTTCTTAAACTAGGATCCTATCAATACTCAAAAATCAAGTGCTCATTCTTCAAATTTTGTTTACTTGATCTTCAGTTAATTTCATTAGCTTAAAAGAGGCAGTTATGCATTTATGGCCAGGAATAAATTTATCCCCACATCTGAAACATAACCCTTTATCTTTGCATAACTGCGTGTCAATTTCAGAAGTTTGTGGAGAAGTGGTAACTGCAAGGGGAGAACCAGCAACTGGCACCATATTTCGTTGAACAGGACAGCCAGAAGGCTCGCAGCTTTGTAAACTGTACGTGACTTATGGATATTGTTTTTAAGACCGAAAACATGGAAGATAAGTATTAAAAATATTTTAGATCACTATTGAAAAATTGAAAATGAGGGAAATGAGTATTGAAAATCTGTAAAATAAGTACCGAAAAAATTCAGTTTCAAGCAAGGATCATGGATTTTTAAAATTTCAAAAATTATTTCTAAATGTCATTTACCAAAAACTTAAAGCATAAAAATATTTATATATGGGCCCACATAGGCACAAGACCATTGGCAATCCATCTTACTTAGCCCTCCTTTGGTATATAATATACAGAGATTTTTAAGTCCTTGTTGGCGACAAGCAATGCATGTAGTTAAAGAAACATAGAATGACTAACAACATATTCTGTAATCTCAACAAAAAGGAGGCTATACAAAGTGGAAAGTGAAACTCAAGCCTCGGGCAACTTCCCCTGGGAATCAACACCGGAACCCCTCGTCTGAAAATGATAAATAACCAACGGGTGAGTCAAAAGCTCCAGTAACCACAATTTCCAGTTCAACAAGTACACAGGGAATGATTACCAGATAGTTGAGTGGGCAAAACAAAATTCATATAGCATAAACAGTTTTCCAGAAACAATATATAATAAGTTAAGATGAAATTTGTATGCATGGAACTCCATCAACCATCCTTATATCCTCCTTGTAGAAAAATCCTTATAACCATCCTTATAATAGAGTAGTTTGGCAAAATTTAAAGAAGAATAGAAAAAGAGTCAACATACAACATGATCATCAACAAGTCTTCCATCAGCCCTCCTCATCCGACGCCTAAGAAAGTCACATGTAATATCTTTGTTGTTAACGACCATTGACAATTGGAGTTGGAATTCAGGCTCATCAAGATGGGATGCTGCAAAAGCAAAAAGATGAGGATGCGTCTTATCTAGCTCCAAGCTAGACAGTCTTCTAGAAAGTTCAACCATGGAAGCTAGGGCATCCCTCATCCGAGGAAGTACTTGTTGATCACAAGTAGAGGAGATGGATTTACAGCACACCACTGGCAGTACATCAAGACAGAGTCTTCCGGTATCAAAGCCGAATAGCTTGATAAAATATTGGGGCTCTTCCTGTAATATTACAATGATAAATAGTTAGGCACTAAATATTTTAAAATAGTTATAACGACATACAATTATAAATCATCTAAATCAACTTCCTTACCAGTGGATTTTCATGCATTAGTGATTAGTGTGATGTTTAAATATTATATTTGCTGGCTTGCCATGTGTATTAGATTGTAAATCCTGGTACCGTACTTCAAGTAGGAGATGGCATTGCTCGTATTTATGGTCTTGATGAAGTAATGGCAGGTGAATTAGTAGAATTTGAAGAGGGTACAATAGGCATTGCTTTGAATTTGGAATCAAATAATGTGATATTTAGAAAAAAAAATTTGTTCTTTCGTTTAATACTTTTAGAACTAGAAAATATGATCTTGATATGTCAGATCAAAAAAAAAAAAAAAAAGACCTTGATATGTATATGTATGGATAACACAAAAACATCAATTTCTAACTTTCGATGGCTTGATATTGAATTTGAACTCCAGTTTTCTCAGGAAAATCTCTTCCCTTCGCTTTCTCTCTAACTGGGAAATTAAACAACTCAAACCCAAATTTCTAAGAAGAACAATTAACAAAAGGAAGTTGATAAATCATAATGCTTCTTCACAGCTAAGACTTTAACTTCAAATTGAGTTGAACTTTTCTGACAAAATCCCTCAATTTTCATATATCCATCCAACAGATACACAACTGGTATCACAAGTTCTCAAGTTCTCGGGGAACCATTACCAAATCCTAATAACTCTTGTATTAATATTATACCTCGTGTATTAATATAAATAAATCCCCTAAATCTTCTATCAAAAAAATAAATCCCCTAAATCAGCCTCCTCACCAGCGGATTTTTATGCATAAGTAAAAGAGCCTAAATAAAAAAACTTACACGATGTTCTGCATACTGGTCCTTTAGGTGCCTCAGCTTGTACTCCACTTGCTTAGGAGAAAAATAGCTCTCACATCTTTCATTGAGCTTATCTGATATTGTCTTGAAGCCAGGGTTTTTCCATACACCTCCATCCCCTGTGATGATTTCATGTATCGACTCCATCAACTGGGCTACGTGACGTTGCTCCCAGTGTGCTTTGATTGCTGAAGTGGTTGAAGAGCTCATCTGAAAAAAGAGACAGAAAAAATGAAATGCAGAAGATTTATAAGTCCTAAACATAACCAAGAGGAAGAATTATGAACTCACCTCGTCCGTAGGAAAGAAGCTTGATGGGTGATCTTCGCCGAATGATAGAGGCCAACTGTGAGATCTCTTCCTCTTTCTTTGGTAGTTCGGCATTATGCATGCATATAATGCAGCCACCGATATGATAGCTTCTGAAATTTCAGTCCCCTCAATCAGTCAATCAAAGTGCTATTGTAGACCAACAGTAAGGTGTGAAAACTTGAATGCAGCACGGAAGGCATTGATGAGGGTACTGCTGTAAATGCAGCTCTCCTGCTCTGCCATTGAGGTATTAGATCTATCTCAAAGACGACTTCTCATTAGATTTACTACACTGGTTAGGGTAGCAGTAATATCATTTGCGTTGCCCTTGAGGACGCTGCATGTTTTTGGAATTACTTAATGACTCTGTTTCATTAGCTGTCTCATGCAATGAGGAAGGACCTGATTACCAATGCTTAAGGCAAGCCCAGAGCTTTTTCAAGTTTTGAAGTTAAAGGCAACCGTCTATCTGTATTATATAAATATTAAGGGTCTTTGCTTAGGATCCTTTATTTATTTTTTTCAACCATCTGTCCACCGTGCAGTTATGAAACATTTTTGGTTCCCTTTCCATTTGAAGATTTCCAAAAATCTCGTTTTCTGGAGCTATGGTGTATTCGGCTCGTCTGTTTCTTTGATATATAGATTCTAAGTAAAGGACATATGAAATATGATTACTCTCTGTTTCTTTGAAGTTTATATTTTATCGCCGAACTAGTTTATGAATTTCTAGATTTGATTATTACTTTGAAAAAAAAATAAGGAATTCGTGCGTATCTTTTGATAGCCACAAGGGGAAAATTTTGTTTGCAGGCAACAATTATGTCGATCACCATAAATACTCCCAATCTCCCAACTTATGGCTGCTCTCTTGATACGTTATGAGAAATGGGACTGTTTCTCCATATTTGCATTCATAAATAAGTAAGTACTAGGTTTTCATGTGGCATTATATTTTGATCCTCTTGATTTTAATTAGGAGTAATTCATGATGGTTGTATAAATATATGGTTAAATTAGTAATGGCTTTATCCTTAATACTATTTACCCATCATTTAGGCTGCGTAAACATTCAAAGCTACTTCCTTAATTAACAAAAATGAAAGTCCTGAATTTTTATTTATTTTGTGAAATGGCAACAGCATTAAGTTCCTCGGTGCTAAGCAAAACAAGTTAATGGAACTACTCAGGGGAGCTCAATGTTATAGCGTCTATTGTATTGTTATTTTGTGGGACAAGAGTAGATTTTCTCTAGCCTTCAGAAAGTAAGCAGCATCAAAGAAAATAGTTCAGTTGAGAAAACAGCTCGATCATGTTGTCATTTGATAACTTGTTTCTTTATGCCTCTTATTGTGCTTTATGCCTCTTATTGTGTCATGTTATATATCTTTTTGTTCTTTGCTATGACAGGGAGAGAAATTGCTCAGGTATGCTTTATTATATTTTTAGTTTGAGAGCGACCGAAGGATAAGTTCAAGTTTTTTATTCGAATTGTTTTCTGTATTCAGATGAAAAAGAATCATTTTCTTTCACATTAAATATCCCATTTTTTATTAATCTTTTATTAACAATGATATCAACGTTTGCTTCTTCTTTTTTTACTTTTAAAAATCTATTTTGTGTTATTTTTCATTTTCGTTTATATAATTTCTTGCTTTAAATATCATGAATGCCTTTTGTTCTTTTAAATGGATTTGAACTTCTTTTAATTTATTGCAGGTACACAAGTAATATAAGTGAGCAAATTTTTAGTTTATTTTTGAAAAGTAAGGGGAAATCAAAGAGTAGACAAGCAATATTGCAGGTACAACCAAAGAGCTAAGAATATCAAATCCGATGTTTATTGTGTTAAGAAAAATAGGTACGTCAACATTTTATAAATATTAAATCTTTACGATAATGAAATTTAAACTTTTGTTCTCTTTACTACTTATACCGAAGTCAGCAAGTTTGTCTTTGAAATGTAGGGGAGGAAAATTCTGTATCAGGTAACAAATTCTAAGAATTAAACTTTTGTTCTTTCAAGTTATACTTCATAAATGTGCCAGCACATTTCATTTTTGTTCTGTTAAAGAGATTTAAATTTTGAGTACACAATAGTTTGTTTTTTAAAATGTGGGAGAATTCTTTATCTAATATATTGCAGGTGCCCAAGAGCTACATCAAAGATGGTATTTATAATGTTATAAATGAAGAGAAACTATTGGAGATACAAAAGTTTTTCTAATCTGTATTCTGGAATAAAATGAGTATATCTATTTAAGAGACAGGAATAATACTCAAGACGGCTTGAAAGAAAGTAAAAATTGGAAACGATCAGGATTAAAATGTTTTGTTTGAATGGGGACAAGCGAATGACAGTCTAATATGAGGGGATATACGGATCGACTAGTAGGATGGAATGAGACCCCAAACACAAGGCAGATGGACAATTGAGGTAGGGTTTAGTCATGAGAATATAAGGATGCAAGCAAAGCTCACACAAAGAGAAATAAAATAAAATTCTCATATAATAATCATTCAAATTATCTCTCCCTTTGAAAAGAGTACATACTGAATTATTTATAAACTCGTATAGACTCATGAAAATCCTAAAATCACAACATTTTTTATTCATCTAAATGACAAAATAGAAAACACATTCAAAAAACTCCATTTCATTTTTTTCTGAAATTTTTGAAAAATAAATTTCATTAATTGATTCAAAACATCTCTTCCTCGATAATATCTGCCAAAGTATGCTATCACAGTATACTAATAAAGAAAACAAAAGGAACACAAACTAAAAAGCTCAATCTAAGTTATTAGAGTCTAAAACTCTAACTTAAATCAAGATAGAATAATCTATATCACTCACTACCTAGCAGGATCCCTTTATTAATGATCTACTAATTAATACAATACAAAATAGGAAACTAATTAAAACAAACAGAATTCTATTTAATGTCATATAAAATCATTCTTGATGTTTCATAGATATTCACGTTCATAAGCAAGTATGGGCTTTTCAGACATCCATTTGGGCTTGAATCTAGGTGAATCACATTCTAGAACTCTCATGGTCTATATAACATAATGCATTTGGACCCCAATTTAAAAAGATTATAACTCTAATGAATTCCTCCGTCAACATATAATTGTGTTGGGTCTTTAATAACATGGAAATTGGCTTCAAATGCTTCTTTTGGGCTCTTAAAACGTGCTCTTATCTTTCTCAAAATCTAAGTGTATAGTCCAATGACTCACATGCCGTGGTGCCTTCGAGGGTAGCCTATCACATGGCACTTCAAGCTTTGTATTTGTAATTTGTCCATATCATTTATCTAAGTAATGATCCATGTTCTCCTTCATGTAAGCATTCTGAAATTATAAATTCTTTGAACACTTTGGAGGTTTAATTGGGCCTCTAACTGGATAAGCATTTCTTAGGCTTCAAGACCTCCATATTAAATGCTTCTAAGTGTGCTATCACAGTCAATCTCGACATGTTTTGTTCACTCATAGAACACATTATGTGCAATCTTAATAGCTGCTTGACTGTCACAATATATATATCAATAGATTTTATGAGATTCGGAAAAGAACAAAGGTGGGTCCCTGTGATGCAAGTTAGCACTGGGAGGAGTATTGTTAGAGCATTAAAGACAAAAAAGGTGAGGAGAACAAAATTAGGCCGACCCACAAGTCCAGTTATTGCACAACCTAACTCGTATCATTTACTCTATTAGGCTGCTAGAGTAAGAATCAGTAAGAGGGCAGTATTATGGACGTCGTCGAAGAAATGAATGAGGGGTTTACCTCTGAGTATAGTACAAGCCCTACAAGCCAACCTACCGTTACAAATCCAAATCCAGTAAGTCTAGGAATTATTTATAGCGAGCTTCATGGAAGACACAATAGTTTTTCTCGCAATTTTAAAGAGTTGAACAAGATGTGAGAAGGCCAAGAAGATTACTAAAATACTTGGTTTGGGATTGTGCAATAGCGATATATGAGTGGTTTGGAAAGATAATTCATGAAAGTTCAAGATTCTGGGAACACATGATCAATTTAGTCATGTGTGTTTGGATACTAGAACACAAAACTTTCTTTACTAATGTGTACGATCATCCTAACCCCGTTAAAAGACGTGTAGCTTGGCATACTCTCTTTGATATTAGTAACACAGTAACAGGTCCATGGTGTATTGGGGAGGCTTTATTCTCCATATGCATGATAGACTTTCTTTTGCACAGATAACAAGTAGTGTGGATCGTGATCTCAGTGAGTGGTAGATTAGACAGTATTCTTGTTAACTCGGCTTTTATCCAAATGCTTTCATAGTTCATCTCCTTTTCCTCAAATCTGATCATCGTAGCTCAGACTCAATGGCAATAAGGCTGGATCCAATAGAGAAGTCCCTTTCAAGTTCGTGCATCCTAGACCTCACACTACAACTGAGTCCTTTGTTAAAAACTCGTGCAACATGAAATTAGATTGGCTTAAGAATATGGAACAATTTACTTCTCACATTGTCACATGGAGTCGAGATGTTTATGGGCATTTGGCAAGAAAGTAGAGATAACTCATGAATTGAATAGGAGGACTCAACAATATCTCCCACATGTGTGCTAACCAGATTGCCATGAACATCATTACAGAAGCTCTAGAGTTTTGAGGATAGTTTTCTAAAAGAGGATTTGGGCTCAAAAAGCTAAGTGTGATTGGTATTTTTTAGGAGATCGAAATTTGAGATGCCAAATAATGAATATGTAGAAAAAAGAATAAAATCAGAAGGGGCTTGCACATTCGACCAAGAGGAGATTAAGAATATTGCCCTTAACTTTTATAGAAATCTTTCACAGCAATTTATAGAAGTGGTGTGTTTTAAATTTTATTCAAATGGTGGGAGTCTAAGGTAGCAGTTGGAAGGAGCTATTTGTTTGTATTTGTTGGCTTGCATGGCAAAGACGGAATGCCAAAGTTTTTAAGAATACTCATACCAATGTGTATTATAGTGCGCCGACCCAAGGCTATGGTAAGAGCTTTAATCGAGCAAGAACTCAGCTGAATCATGCTAATATCAAAGGAGCTCCTAACTCTAGGCAAGCTAATGTGACGTATACAATGAGAGCGTGCTCATTCACATTAGAGTTTTTTCACATTCCACTGGATTAACAACATGTGGAGGCATTACTAGGAATTATCAAGAATTTCTAAGGGATTACTTCGGAAGCTTTCATGATGAATTTGCCCAACGAACCCTCATTAATGGCAGAGATTCGAGGATTAGTTTTGAAGATGGCAATTGCGGGGAACTCTCATGGCTCTGAAGATGTTATAGCAATTTATAGGAGTAGTTTGTTTTAAAATTTAGCCAAATGGTGGGAGTCCAAGATGGCAATTGTAGGGAGCTATTTCTTTGTATCTGTTGGCTTGTATGCCAAAGACGAAACGTCAAAGTTTTCAAGAATACTCATGCTAGTGTGTATGACGTAGTGCATCAAGCCAAGGCCATAAGAACTCAGCTAAATAATGTTAATATCAGAGGAGGTCCTAACTCTAGGCAAGCTGATGTGACTCACGCAGACAAGGAGAGCATGCTCATTTTCATGTTCCACTGGATTAACAGCATGTAGAGGCATTATCAAGAATTTCCAAGGAGTTTCTTCAGAAGACTTCATGTGCCTAACGGAGGCTCATTGATTGCAGAGATACAGGCAATTCTTATAGGTCTGAAGAGAGCATGGGATAGAGGCCATCACATTATTTATTTAAAATGTTGAAGATTTAGAAGCTATTAGACACGGTGACAATGATATGCATATTATTGGAACCTAATCTAAGAAGAGTTACTAGAAACTGAGATCAAACGAGCACTTATGCTTCCTCAGGGACTTCATTTTAATGATGCTCCCTCGAGTAGCTTTTCACTTCTTTTTGTACAAGAAAAAAATAATAATAATTCATGAGATCAATCACATGTGCGTGGGTAAGATCTCATATAGCTATCAATGAGTTCCTTATTTTTTTCGGGGTAATAATCAAATCCAAAAAATTATAAACTAGTTCAGCCATAAAAGATGCACTCCTTACAACATGGCAAATCAAAGTTCAAATTTTCAAATATCCATATTTACTATTCGATATTGCCTCAAATAGAATTTTCTCTAATAAGAGGCTATGTGTCTAGAAAAAAAATATACTCAAACTACGTGATATCATATTTCATCATATGTCCCTCGCTCAAATTGATACGTGGCATCATGAATAATAATGATAACAAGGCTCACGCGGCTTAGTTAGATGTTAGATGAATGATTGTAACTAAATCTATTAGGAAGGTTAATCAGATTAACCAGATGAGTTAGAGATATAAATACTTACACGTGTACTATGTTGAGCTAGTTGAATAAAGAAATTACTTTCAATCTCTACGTTTTTCCTCTTTTCCTCTCTCTTGGCCTGTACCCCAGAATCTGTTTGTCATAGAAACAAAAGAGTCACACACCATAACTTCAGGAGGGAAAAAAAAAAAAAACAGAACACACCAGAAGTCCTGAAAAGGAGAATCGAGAGGGAACCCGAAATGTGCCTAGCTGCACTGTGGACAGGCAAAGCAGCAAAAACCATTTAAAAATTCATTAGAACAGTAGCAGCGGATTGCCTTTAACTTCAAAACCAATCTCTTCATATTCTCAACAGACACAATACTGATATCACTGTAAACGATATTACTGTTACATCAGCACAGTGAATTTGAAATCAAGTGATCCAAATGTAATACAGCTAGCACTAATAAACACAAGTTCTATAACAAATCAAATGATCAACCATAAATCTGATTTTGATAAGGATATTTTGGGAGTATTAACGGTGATTGGCATAGTTATTGCACGCAAAGCAAAAAATTCCCCATATGGCTGTCAAAATAAACACAAGTTCCTTAGATTTTTTTAGAGTAATAATTAATGTAGAAGCTTATGAGCTAGTTTAGCAATAAAAGATATATACTCTAAAACTATATAAGATCATATTTCATCATATGCCCCTCAATTAGAGTCTATATATCATCGAAACAGAACAGACAAACACATCATCACTCCTGAAAATGAGATTTTCAAAACCTTGAGGCCGACAGGGAACCAGAAATGCGCATAGCTGCACTGTGGACAAGCAAATTAACAAAATTAAAAATTCACAGGAACAGTACAATAGCAGAGACGAGAGAAATTTTGGATCATTCACTGCAATAAGAAAAAACTATTTTTTGCAAAAACATATACAAACTTAATCGGGCGAAAGAAAAAGATCCTAAGCAAAGACCCTTAATATTCATATGATATAGACATTTCATATTCTCAATGGATATAGATAAGCAAATGGCTCAAGGCTTACCTTAAGCAGTGGTAATCAGGTCCTTCTCCTTATCGTCTAATGAAATAGAGCCGTCTAAGTAACTCCAAAAACCTGCAGCGTCTTCAAGGGCAAGGAAAAGAATATTACTGCTACCCCAATATAGCAATTTAATGAGAAGTCGTCTATGAGATAAGGAAGAGCTAATATCTTCTGGGTCTCTGAAATCATTTTAACAGAACCTTAGAATTCAATACCGCATACACCTTACAATCAGAATGAAAGATATGCAACAAAAAAATTCATAACTAGAAAGCTTCGATTTTGAACAAAAGGGATACCTGAGGAATATCTCGCAAGTGCTTGGATTATTTGTATTCAAGAGTTGGAGAAGGGTGATCCTTCAATATTGATGGCTTGTTCTTGAAAGGCCAGTATTCTAGTGAGGTTCACGCCAGTGGCGTCAGCCACTTATTATCTCTTGTAAGTTTTTGGAGACTGTGAACTCGGCAGTCAGGAGGAAGCAGATTATCTTTGCCCTCATTCAGAATAAATCGATCTATATTCAGGCAAAAGAAACCAAGAGCAAAGTTTGAATCAGAATAATCATCGCCTCACGTTTGCGTATTGAGAACGTTTTTGCTATTATCTATAACAGCAGATTGAGAAAACAAGAAGAGACGGAAGTAGAAAGCGTGAGCGAGAAGAATGAGAGTTGAGAGAACAGAGAGACGGAGGTGGGGGATTTCAATCAAAAGAAAAACTATAGCGAAAACTGGCCGTTGCTTTTGAGGCGGTGGTAGGGTTCGCGGAGCGTTGAGGAAATAGAGACGTTGAGAGAAGTGAAAAGGGCCGTTGCGTTGAAGTTGAATCTGAGGCGGTGGTAGTAAGGTTCGCGGCTTCGCGCCTTCACAGGGCGTCCCGGGGAAATGCCTTTTTCATTTATTACCAATATGTACTCCTGTTAATATATCAGAAAACAAATTAAAATTATAGTATTAGTTTAGTAGACAAATTTTAAATAATTTTATTTTTATCAGATATATTGGATAAAATATTAATCTCATCAAAAACATTAAAAAATAGAAAAATAAAAATTTTAACGATATTCAAAATCATAGCACTATTTTATTAATAAATATTGCATAAAACTGAAAAATAACGCACTTGTAATATATATTGAATAAAACCAAAAAATAATTTTTGTTAACTTTATGACGCATTTGTAATTTTCAAAATCATACTATTTTATTGTCGCATTTGATTTTATTAAAGTGAAATAATGATTAAAAAAAAGTCACTGTATATTATATAAGATTGTCAATGAATTTTATATTGAGGATAATTTATTAAAAATTAAAAAAAATCAAGTGTGAGAATGACAAGGCTTTTACACAAAATGTGAATGGAAAATAAAAATTACTTAAAAATAATGAAAATGATGAATATGAAAAAAGGACAAAACTTAAAAAAAAAAAAAAAGTGTTAGCTTTGAATATCTTTGAGTGCATAATAAGAAATCAACTTATAACAAATTATACTATTCAGAAATCAAGAACATTATGATTCATTTTCATATTCCATACAGTTATAATTAATTTATATATAGTTTATTTTTAAAAAAATGCACATTCCTTTTTAGCTTTGTCATAAAAAATATATTGAATTGGTAGGTATGAATTATGATCAATAAAATTAACTAGATTTGTTTATAAAATTGATGATGCTAGAAATTGTTAAAGATAAACTAATATGCTAGAATTATGAATTGAGAAGTACTCACATTTAATGTCTAACAGTATCTCGAATAGAATTGCCTCCGAAAATATATATACTTTAGCAAAAAAATAAAAATAACGTTTCAATTTACTTTATTTCTATTTTTTTATTTTATCTTCAAATAATCCTATGATAGTTATACATGTTAATAAATTTTTATAATTGGATAGTTTTAATATATATGATTAATAAAAATATTTTTAAAAAGACAATATCTACTTATTATAGATAACTAATTTAGTTAATTTTTTAAACATTTTTAAATTAGTTGTCTAATTTTTATATTAAAAGTTGGACATCATAGCTTTTTAAGTGAGAGTTCATGAGTTGATAAATTTATTTTTGTTCATATTTTTTATTTTTATAATATAGTAAATAAGTAAATGAATAAATAATTGTTGAGATTTTAAAAAAAAATAAATTCTCATGATTAAGGATGACCGCCGGCCCACCAGATCACCAACTCTACGTTCAATTGTGTGTAGGGGTGGAAACAGGCCAGGCCAGGCCAGGCTTTACCCTTAACAGGCCAGGCCTGTATTGAAGCATGTTGGCCTGAGCCTGGCCTGTGGCCTGTGACAGGCCTTATATTCAGCCTAAGCCTGGCCTGTGTAAAAGCCTGGCCTGGCCTGAAGCCTATTAAGAAGCCTGTATTTTTTTTAAAATATTTTAAACATATTTAAATCAACTCAACATTATAATAACTCAATCCAAATTATATAAAATACAAACATAAAATTATCTAAAATATTTAAGTGAAAAATATTTAATATTCAAATGGTAGTATATTATTTTGTTGTTCATCTTTCAAATTATATTATTTAAGTGAAAAATATTTAATAACTTGAGGAGAAGATGTAGTTAAAATGGTCACAATACAAGGAATAAACAGAAATCAAATTCATAGAGGGGTTATTTCTATTGTCAACTGTTGGTGATGTACGTTAGAAAAACTAAGTAGTTTTGTATAGGTAAATAAAAGTCAAAAATGGCAAACACGAAATCATCATCGGGCAGTAGGATTTGAATGAATAACAAAGTGTATATTATAGAAATCATCATCCAAGGTATATTGAAGAGTAATCCAAACATGGTTTTATTCAGGATAAAAATGTGGTATTAGGCATATTAAAATATTAATCAAAACATGGTATTATTTAAAAAAAGTTAATTATAAATTTATAATTATAATATTTTAAAAAATATATAACAGGCCCAGGTCGCCTAACAGGCTTAACAGGCTTATTAAAGAGCCTGAGCCTGGCCTTTTAAGAGAAACAGGCCTTTAAAAAGGCCTAAGCCTGTTTTAATTTGAAAATAGGCCAGGCCAGGCCAGACCACAGGCCCCTGACAGGCCGCCTGGCCTATTTCCACCCTTGATTGTGTGCCCTATCATCATCATGCTCTTGTTCTTTTGAGGGAGTATTTGGATAAAAATCAAACTATGATTTTAAAAGTATTTTTATGGTATACGAAATAAATATGTAGAGGAGACTGTCTCGTTTTATAAAAAAAATACTTTTCAAAAACACTTTTTTATCTTGCCAAACACCTCCTAATTCCTTGTGCGAATCAAGGCAAAAGTGGAAAAGAATCTTAAAAAGGATGTTAGATCCGGGGCGATGAAAGGTCCGATATTAGCTTTTCAAAGCTTGTGGCGGCCATACTTAGGAAACAAAATCCAATGCATTGCATCTTTACGCTGCTGCTACATAAAGGCTTCATCTTGTTCGTATTTCTTCAGGCATTGTGTCATTGGTGTAATAAAAACTAAGGAATAAAAAGCCGCACTGAATACTAAACCAATTAAGATGCTGGTTTAAAGATTAGTAAATCAGACGGGATCAACTCAGAATCAAATCGATCATATTAAAATAATATAATTTAATTAAAAATAACAAAATAATTGAAAATAATAAAATACAATAATATTAATAATTACTAATAACAAAATAATTACCAATAATTAATCAACAAGCATTTTGATATTGTCGATCTTTCTATAAGTAGTCTCATGATGCTATAATTATAGCACATATAACTAACAAAATTTTGCTCACAAATTTTATAAACTCAACAGCACAATATAGAGATGAAAGAATTCACAAAATTGAGATGCAAAGAGGGAAGTGCGTGGGTCTCACTTGTATGATATCTACCAATTTTAAATATATGAGTTATTTCTGGGATTTATTATATATATATATATATATATATAAAGATGTCAATCCACATTATCTACTAAATATATAATTTTTTAAACTATCTATATTGCTTGCATACATTCACTTTGCTTTAGATTATAGTGAAAATGCCCAAGTGACAAATAGTGATTAAAAATACAACTTCAGATACATTATTAATATTTGAGAAGTTAAACGAGTGTCTAAATTAAAATTCTGAATATTTATTTTTACTAATTTTAACATAAATCTTTCCATGCAAATTCAAATGGAGTTATGATGCGATTGATAAACTTTAAATAAGTTACCAAAATTTTTAGCTTTCCGTCATTTATATGCTTAATTTATTTGTGAGATTCATGCATCTGTGAAGTATTCTAAAAAGATAATTTGTATAGTTTATTTCTTGAGATAATCGCACAAAAACACCTTAAAAATTAAAAAATTACATGCAGAGACCCATTCATAAAATTGTTGTCATTTGCTTATCAATTATTGTCAAAACCAATACTAATATTGTAATGGTCTTTATTTGTAATTTTTTTTATTTTTGAAGTCTTTTTTTACAATTTTCTGTTATTTCTTTGCAAACAATTTATATAGTTTATAACTTACGAACAATATAATTTTTTATCAATTTTATATGGAGAAATAAAAATAGATTTGTGGTTAATGTCATCAATAAATAACACGTTAGTTTGTAGATCATAAAACTATACTCCTAAATTTTGTCTGTATAATTTTAAAAGAAATATAAAATAAAGGGCCCGGTTCGGTTTTACCAGTACACATTTTACATTCCATTTTTGTCTGGTCTTTCAATAAAAAAAGTGATTTGGCTTTGATTTAGGGAGTGTGTTATTTCTTTTATCCATATCTAATATAAAAAAGTATTTATTTTATTTCCTAAAATGCTTAAGTACATTAATTTAGCACTCAAAATCGAAGACAACTAATCCTTATATTATAAATCAATTTTATATATTAAAAATATGTCTTGCATACTATTATATTTAATTTATCATGTCCTTGTACTTATATTTTTCCCCTATAAATTAAGATTATTTTAATTACAATTTTATTCAAAATTTTAGACAATTGTTTTGGATATTGTTGACATGCTAATGTTTGTTTCTTGCCTTGTATTTAACAAATACAAAGTTTATCTTGTTTTTTTAACCATCAGATTTATTATAATAATTATTTTTGTAATTAACTTCACATCTTACACACACATATGAGGAGTTAATTACCTATCACTTTTACTTATTTTGGTATTGTGCCCGTTTGATATTAGATAAAAGTAGTTTGTGATATTATAATTGAATAGTTTATAGAGTTGACAAAATTTTACTCATAGATTTCATAGACAACACAGCTAATAGAAATTGATAAATCCATAAATTTTATAGATTTCATAAACCCAACAACATAGCACACAGAATTGACAAAACTTAATAGAAATTAAGAAATCCACAGATTTTATAGGTTTTATAAACCCAACAGCATAGCATATAGAATTGACAAAACCTAACCTACAGTTTCTCACTTTTCAAAACCACCACCTCTCTATTGAAAATCATACTCCTCCCCCCCCCCAAAAAAAATCATCCCATCTTACCTTCAACTATATATATAAGAGTTCAGCAGCACTATTTCAAGACCCATTCTACATATAAGTAACCAAGTCACTTATGAAAACAAAACATAAATGTTTAGCAGGTCTTCAAAGGAAGCTTCAATGCTGAGAATAATGACACAA